CGTACAACGAGACGATGGCGCAGAGCATCGACTTCGACGACAACTTCTCCGCCGCTAAGCGGAGTGATTTGGCGATCGAGACGCCAGATGGGCAGCGGTTCAACATCTCGCAGACGGCGGTCGACAGCATCAGCGCGTACTTCAAGCTCACGTTCCAGGAGGACCTGATGGTGTACAACGAGACGAACAACACGGTCGACGGCCAGATCAACGGCTGGTACATGAACAGCACCACCATCCAGTACAAGCCTAGCGCCATCCAGCCCTTCTACACGAGTACGGATTTGAACACGACCTTCAAGACGTTGGCGACGAGCATGACGAATGCGCTGAGGGGAGATGCGGATGCCGATGGTTCGGAGATGGTGGGTCAGACGGGCCAGATGACGACGTACTATCACGTTCAGTGGCCTTGGATTGCGCTGCATGGTGTTGTTGTCTTGATGTCTGCGTTGTTCCTGATTCTCACCATTCGCGAGAGTAGTGGGCCAGATGGCGCTGCGCCGGTGTGGAAATCCAGCACTTTGGCTGCCATGAGCAGGGGCACGCACGTCACGCATGTCCTGGATGGTGCTGTTACTTTGGGCGATATGCAGAAGATGGCGCAAGAAGAGAAGGTGGTGCTGTTTGCGAAGGATGGAGAAGTCATGAAAGGTCAGTCGCCCAGCTATTCTGTTCTATGATTGAATCTGACACATTTTCAGATGGTTCCAACGTTATTTCATCTGGTGTAAGAAGCACGGATCAGTTGTAGTATCGGCAGCATGGGCGATGATAATCACACTTTGAAAGTTGACGATGTATGATACCCCGAGAGAGAACAAAAGTATTCATGACTGCATCTCCATGTCCCACGTGATCGCGTCTGCAGTGTCTGACGGCAGCTTTTGGTACGGACTACAACCGGGATGATACAAAGCCCTGAGAGCGGCAGATACCGCTTTCCACTTTTCTTGACTCAAAAGAGATTGCTGGATCTGTTTGAAAAACGACTGTTCTGATCTTAGCTGTCACTCTCCGGGATGGCTTGTAGTGGCTGAAATTTTAGATGAAGAATTTGTATTTGCACCATTGCGGCTGTCGTTTCACACGTTGGCCAAGAGCAAAATTACTCATCGTTCCCTCCATGGACTGCAACAGGATGACTGCTTTTCTGATGAGTGGATGATAGTTCTCAGAATGATCGGAACATGTTTATGCAAAATGCAGGGTCCTGATCCTTCATTCAAGATCAGTGGGGCTTTGTAGGTAATGTCTTATTCGGGTTAGAATTCCCGAGTGGCTGATGGACGTCTCAAGTGGCTGGCGGAATTTCCACGTGGCTGACAGACTTGCCGAGTGGCTTGCACGTGAGCCTTTCCATGGTTGCCCATACTGACGCTTATACGCTCCAGCATGCTTTGGTTTTGACTAGCGTTGTGCGACAATAGACGGTACCAGTGTTGGAATGTGGAGACAATCGGATATTGAAAAATACTTATTCCTTGTTCAAAACAGAAATGCCCACAACCATACTCAAATGCTCATATTCCTAATATGCATCAAAGGTGTACTGTGTTATCGCGAGATGCCAAGGGTTCCAGGTTGCACTTTAAATTACTCACGTGTGGTGTGTTGAAATTAATTGTGTTCCAACGTGGAGCTCGTACCTCTAATAAGCCTTACCGTAACCACGCATAGCACAAGCGAATACTTACTGGGAGCATTGAAAGGCAGCATTGATGATACCTCCGATGCTTTTGAAGAAACAATGGTGCATGTCTAGTAGTCAGCGCGACCAAGTCGGCTCGGGTCTCTCAGCCTCACAAAAGCAAGGATGGTAATATTCTGCTTTCGAGGATGGCGCGAATAGCGGTTCTGACACCATGTCTCGGGAGACGGAATAGAAGCGAAGATCGGCCATCGGACACCGGGGAGAAAAGTCCGGCACACGAGATAAATACGGCCTCGGAATCAGGGCATCAGAACGGTCAAGCCAATCTCTCTATGCAACTGCCTGTCGTGAGCCAACCCTGTGCTCCTTCGTCTGATTCAAAATGAGCCTGCACAACATCTTTTCTCTTCCCGAAAGCAATATCACGGCTTCATGGGAGGCTCCTCCAGGCCACCGCGGCTCGTACAATATTCTTTACTCTTGCTGCATCACATTGCTATTATGTGTGTGGAAAGTCATACATCCCAGTATCCCTCAGAAACGCGGTCCTCGAAAACAAGGACATAAACAGGCCACGACACACGCGGCAACCTTCCAAATTACTCACCAACTTGTGAAGGACTGGCTGTTCATGCTGCGAGACACAATCCTCGACGGCGTGCGCGACCTCCAACGCCCTGGGACGTTGTCCTATCAAGTGAAGTGGGCAATCTTCGCTGCGTTCGCTCCAGAAATGGTAAGTCCAGAATCAACAGGAATCTTCAGTTGGAACCCGAAATCCTGAGCCGATACCTGACATATCATCTAGGTAGTCTGTCATGCGGTCAAGGAATGGGAAACGGTGCGGAAATTTTACAATGAGATGAACAAACAACAAGATCTCGAACACGGAAAGGCATGCTGCGAAGCCATAAAAGCTACAATTGAACAATCAAGTGGAGAGGGCGCTCAACAGACTGAGGGGGACGGGAATTGCCCTATTGTGTCAGTGCCGGTGAATACGGATGACACTCTCTGCAGTACGACCGAAAAGAAGCACCCTAAGGTTGATGAGAGTCCCGTGCCGTTACAACACAGCACACCTGCCGGTACCGAGAGCACTGCGTGGACTATGACGCATAGCTTCTATGCGATTATGGGCGGTTATGAGTTCGTAAACAAAGACGAGGTCACGGTAACATCCAAGAGATTTCAAGACGGAGTTATCGTTTCACCCGAAGGATTGCTGTCTCTGAAACGCGAACCGTTCATGCGGTCACCACCGGTACACCGAGAGGACATCGAAGACAAGAGCAAAGTCAGCTATACGACGAAGGCGTTCATACTGTTTCAGGGTAAACTACCAACATATGCAAGAACTTGCTTAGGATCATGGCTTACATATAGTGCAGCGTTATACTTCTGTATACAATGTATTGCCCGGATCTGTCAAGGGCTTCCAACAAGCCTTCTAGAGATGAGCACTTTCGCGCACTGCGTAGTGGCTTTGCTTGTTGAGTGCTTTTGGTTTCGCAAACCACTGAGTATTCAGCTGCCAAGCCAGATACCAGTAGATAGGGAAGTCTTCAGCTCCGTGAAGGGCGAGTTCTTAAATAATCCACGCGAGAATATCGACGGTCTTGCTGACTGCTCAGCCATCGGATTCTTCAGTCTTTTGTACGGCGGACTGCATCTTCTGGCTTGGAATGTTGCTTTCCCCTCTCAACTCGAAAGAATTCTGTGGCGAATAGCTGCAGTGAGCGTCACGCTTACAGGCCCACAGATTGTAATTTGCTACATACTCTGCGAAAAATTTCTTTGGAACTGGCTATCTTCGGAAACATACAAAAACTTTCACGGTCTGCTTCGCTTGGAACCTGGACAAAACAGGAAAACTATACAGGACGAGCTTCGGAAGTCTTTGGGCGACCGTAATGGACGGGCCCCGTTTCAAACCACCTGCGCATTCTTCGCTGTCTGTTTTTCATGTCTCATTCTGCTCATACAGGCGCTCTTCCGAGTTTTCTTACTCGTGGAGTGTTTTGTTCATCTTGTTTATCTACCTGAGGCGGCTTTCCAAGTTGTACAATGGTTACAATACCTCCCGCACATTGGCTAGTCTGGTTGGAAAATGAAGTCCAGTAGTCAAATCTGAATCCCTGACAGAGTGTTTACTGGTCATGTACATAATCATGACATACGCAGGATACCTCTTTACGCCGGCAAAGACTGGAGAAGAGGTACCAACACCTCTGTGGCAAGCGAGTCCCGTTTTCAAGGTAAATGTAATTGTAAACGGAAATACGTGCTGCAGCAAGAACAGATTCAAATATATGCTTTTTTCAATGCAGAGTTAGCGGAGTTACTTCATGCCAATCTTCGAGGGCTAACACTGAATTAAGATGATACGGATCATGGAGGGAGCCACAGGTGAGATAGATTATATCAGTAGCAAGGACTTGATGCTTGAGGCTAAATAAATCCCAGACTCATCGTTGCCGCACGCCGAGCAAATCCTATGTTTTGAGAACTGCCGGTCAAGCCGCTGCGCAACTGCAGTGTGCATATTTCCACCCTAGAACAGTTTTCGGCTTTCTCAGGTGAAATAGTGGGGGAAAATTGGCGGCAGGACCCCACGTGCCATTCCATGCTATAGCAAATCCGGCATTTGAATGTCTGAGTTTGCTTAAAGCAGTGATCTTCCCATGCCGGTTCCATTTCATTCCACGATGCCTCTGCATAGGGATATTTCAGCATGGACGATAATGATAGCTCAATGCGAAGTCGAGCTCGTCTGTTTCCGTGTGCTGCATATCTTATTTTCTTCATGCCTTTCCAACCCCGCTAATGCACGTGGCCTTCGGAATGCACGTTAGGCGAACTTCGAAACTGGAATTTGGGAACAAATTATGGTTGACCAATTGAACATGTTTCTGTTAACAACTTAACAACCCTTATTTCTACTGACTTTCAGTGGCACGCTTGCAGTGCAGTCTTAGTGAAATCTCACACACTCCGTACTTCAAGATTGGACAGAGGCTAAATATTCTTGTGGGCATGTCAAGGTCGACTCCTTGTTGAGAGCTTCTAGCACAACCTCAGCCAAGGATTGTTGGGGAGTGACGACATTCACAACCGAATTACTCCTGCTTCCATCATTCATTGGTGCAGAATAGGAATAGCTTCTATGAAGCCCCTGCAACGCTTTTCATTTTTTCTCTTAGATTAGACACTTTGCTCAATCGCATCCAGTTCGAAATCAGACCAGCGCTGGTTGTAATAAACGTATTTCTTGCACTCCGATGAGCAGCAGCATTTTCCAGCTTCCAGTTCTCGTTGATCCTTCTGTTTTTCAAATTTCGCAGCCATGCATTGTCTGCTGCCACTGATTCCTCTTGCGGGCGGTGTTCTGGGCGTCGCTCTTCCCGGGCCCAACGTACCCAATGTTCCGCAACACAATGGCCGATTGAAGACCAAGGTTATGACGAAGCACGTTGACTTTGAACCCCCATACGAAATCAACTACTACAATGAATACCAGTACTATGAAGAGTACTACTATGGCCCCGGGGGGCAAACGGCCTATGCAGTGCTCCCAGGATCCACGCGCAGGATCCCGGGCTCTGCCACCACGACTGCCCCACCTACCGGACCGAGTGACGAGCCGCTGGAAACACCACCAGTTGATTTTCTTCCCGAGTTTGCCAGCGGGTTCTGGTTCGACGAGTACCTGGACGAGTACTTCGGATACTACGACTTCTCCGACGACTCGTTTCCCGCCGCGCTCCAAGACTTTGCTCCGGGACTTTCGTCCTACAACATGAACGATTTTGACGACGACGACCTTCCACCAACCATCATCATCGGCGGACAACGGTTCGACACCACATCCAGATATTGCTTACAACCACCATGCGACGACGCTGACGCTAACCTTAACCTTAACGACGACGAGGGGGAGTCGGAGGACGGCGGCGACGACCGAACCACGATCGTGCCGCGCAGCCCGCAGCAGGGTGTGCCCCCAGTGCAGGGCCTGCCGCCACTGGACCCGAAAAATTTCGCCACCACGCAGGATCTCATATTCGAGATAGCCGTCCGCCAGGAAACCGAACGAGAATACCAACTATGGAAAGCTTCACAGGCACCGCCGAAGAAGCCGCCGACTCTGAACGACAGATTAAGCGCCCCAGGAATCGAGCAGCTGGAGAGGGCACAATTTCGAGCCCTAGCGATCGCTCGCCTGGAGGAGGCAAAGGCGGCCAAGGCTTCCCAAGCCGGTCAATCCAGCGCCGCTGCTGCTGCGTCCGCGAGTGCTGCTCAGGCCCAGGCAGAGGCCGCCGCCGACAAGTCTAAGGTCGACGCAGCATCTGCTGCAGCAGCGACGGGAGACACCGCCAAAGCTGTACAGATCGTCTTGGATAAGAAGGCGCCCCCTGTGCTGCCAGGGACCGGTGCAGTGGTCCAGGTTGATAGCAAGATCGAGCCGCTGGTCATCGGCAAGAAGGTGGCTGAGGCGGCATCTGCCCCCTTGTCCAGAGCCGACAAGATCAAAGCGCTCCACGAAGAGGCGAAGAGGCAAGCGCAGAAAGCCGCGTCGATACCCAAGCCGCACGGGATCGTCCGCAGAGCTGCCTCCCCGCAAGCCGGCGACGACGCCTCCCTCGTCGACCCAACCCCCACCAGCAATAACGACGTCGACAACGATATCACCACCTTCATCCGCACGCCCGCGCAGCAGACCAGAAGGCCCAACTGGCTGCCCGGCAGCAACGGCGGGGCCATCCGGGGTGGTGGTAGCGGCGGCGCCTCATCCGCTGACCCAAGCACCGTCAACAGCGCCGTCTTCAACTCCATTCTCTCCTCCCTCATGAACGCCGCCAACAACAAGCCACAGTCGACCACGAAGCCCAGCTGGCTCCCTGGAAGCAACGGCGGCGTCGTCCTAGGCCCCGGCAACGGCAACCTCGCCTCACTCTCACCGTCGTCCTCATCATCCTCATCGACCCCGGCCCCCTTGGACACCGACTCCTCCCCATCCTCATCCACATCCCCATCGGGCCCGACCACCTCGCCGGACGACGACGACGACGACGCCCCCGACGACTTCCTCGACTCTGACTCCTCCTCCTCCTCTTCCGACTCCGACTCCTCTTCTGACTCCGACTCTTCTTCCGACTCCGACAACGACCCAGGCTTCGACCCAGTCCCCGTCTCAGACCCCGACTCCTCCACCTCCTTCACCACCATCATCACTGCCCTCCTCGCCACCGCCAACCAAACCCCAGACTCCTCCTCCACCTCCCCCCCACCCGACTTCAGCTACAGCCTCATCCGCGATATCACGGGCAACTTCTTCCTCGCCGCCGACGACTCGGGCACGGTCGGCCTGACGACCGACCCCCCCTCCGCCGACGCCTTCGCCTGGAAAACCTTCGCGCTGTTCAAGGGCGCGCTGGCGGCGGACGCGCGTAGGCGGTTGTTTGTGTATTTCCCGGAGACGATGGAGGCGCTGGGCGTGTCGAGGTTCCGGTTGGCGGAGCTGGGGGAGACGGCGTTTGATGCGCGGGCGGTGGCGGGGGTGCCGGTTAGTGTTGATGGTGGTGGTGGGGTGGTGGAGAGGGACGGTGGTGGGGAGAATGGGGCAGTGCTGATGCCGGTGGATACGGACGGTGGGAGTTACGGGTTTGTTGCGTGCGATGTTGTGGCGGATGGGGTGACGGAGAATAAGCTGTTTATCGTGAAGGAGATAGATGCGGGGGTGCAGACGCTGCTGGACCAGGCGACGCGCGAGGAGGTGACGGGTGGGGAGGTGGAGGGGTGTTGGCCGGTTGCGCTGAGGTCGCCGTTGTCGGCGGGGTTGTAGTGGGTTGGGGGTTTGGAAGTTGTCTACCATATCTCGTATGTGCTTGTGGGTTCATCTATTCGAGGACGATATGAAGCGTTTCCATATACTACGCCGTGCATCTTGTGAGATATCAAATGTCTGTCAGTTCAGTGGAGTTTGCATGTCGTAACGACTTTTGGATGAAGGGGTTCCAAATCGCTTCGCAATTGTACGTACAACGACTCGGTAGTTTTCTCTGTTGCCTGATGGAGGCGGACAATCATATCCAGCGCCCTGAGCCTGTGATACTTCAGAGATGGGACTGATTACGCGCGAATCGTCTCGCCTAATTATTTTTAGAAAATGCTTTGCAAGAGCGGTTTATACGTGGGTCCGACATAATTCCGGCCTCTGAGAAGAGGAAATCCTACGTTTACTAAATAGATTTTGACGAATTTTATATCATCGTCTCGCTACGTAATCTAAGGTTAAGTAAGACTGGAGATTTTAATATTCCTCAAATACGTCCGTACGAACACGAAAGGGATACCCGGCGAATTCTTTCATCAGCAACGATGCTTATTCATGAGTCACGTCGGACCCCACGTATAAACCGCTCTTGCAAAGCATCGTATGATTAACGAATCAAAACATGCCACGCCGACAAAATAAGCACTAACAATTTTATTCAATTTCTGCTTGAGCGGCAACAATTGAACTTGCAACATCATCGCAACAACCACCAAACACCTTGTGTGGCGGCAACATGAAGCGCTACAAGTACCCCCCCTTGAACGAGGCAAATGAAGAGATCAGAATGCTCTCGCTACACCCTGGTCCCTTTGATTCACCCATCCGTATTTCTCTCTCGAATGTTCGATTTCCGAAAGCGCCGGACAACAAAAGCGACATACCAGGCAAGTTCAAAACACAACTAGACTCGGCCATAATCTGACCATTCCCGTCAGAGTTTGAAGCACTTTCCTATACGTGGGGATCCACTGAAAACCCTGTCGACATCACAGTCCAATCCCTGGTCGGTGACGAGGGTAGCCTGTCGGTTACACAGAATCTAGCAGCAGCACTTCCATATCTCCGATACCCGGATAAAGCGCGTGCTATTTGGATTGACGCGATCGCGGTGAACCAGGACGACTTGAATGAACGAAGCAGCCAAGTCAGACGCATGGCCGACATCTTCACCAAGGCACGTCGAGTAGTCGTGTGGCTCGGTTGTGAGTCATCGAGCACGGCATTGGCGCTAAAGTACATCTCTACCGCCAGTTCCGAAGTCCGCATTGATTGGAAGCTTTTCGAAGTACACCCAACCACATCCGATAAATCTTGGGCTTCCTGGACAATCCCTCTGCGGGCGGATGAGTCGGAAGCATCGGCATTGCTAGAATTCTTCAGTTCCAGCTGGTTTGAGCGACTCTGGATACACCAAGAGATCCTTCTAGCACAGCCAGGCTCAGTAGTCATGTGCGGCTCCTTGTCGATACCCTGGAAATCTGTGCGAGATGCCATCTTGCTCATCCACACCAGACTCCCTGCCGACGTTCCCAGCGGAATTCCACTGAATTCAAGACTCGATTCGATCCATGATCTATACTATCCCTACTCCACTGGAGAACCGCTTAATCTTCTTCGCCGTACAGCAAGTTGCAAATGCACCGATCCCCGAGACAGAATCTTCGCTATTCTCTCAATGCTGGGGGAAGAGAACGTTGGTGAGGCTATCGAGCCCGACTACAACAAGACTGTTTCAGAGGTGTACAAAGACGCCGTGGTGCGGTGGACTAACAGTTTGGGAAACTTGGCCATTTTGGAATCCTGCAGCCTCGACCGACGCCTCGAGGGAGCCCCGTCGTGGGTGCCGAACCTCGCGATACCGGATATCCGTCTTCCTTTCCAGTTTTGCAACGCTGCTGTGGAGAGGTATCCAGTTTTCACCATCAAAGGCGACGTGCTGGAAGTGCTCGGACTCTCAGTGGCACGAGTGGGAGAAATTGGACCTACTGGATTCCCGTCAATACAAGGTGGCGGTGACATTGTGCTCGACATGAAGAGTATTATTGAGCAATACCTTCCTCATGACGAATCCCCCCCTGACAGTAAACGGTTTCAATCAATATGCCGAGTGATAATGTCGGGTGCTTGGGCAGAACAATGGAATCCTCCTCGAGAGGATCTCTTGCCGACAAAAGACTACATCCACCAGATCCTGTCAGAAATACACACCGCTGGCTCTTGGCCAGAATCTAGGTCTAAAGAGACTACTTTTCTCAGCTGGGCTGCTAGTTCTCTAGTAGGTAGGACTACATTCGTTACCGAGGATGGTCGCCTGGGACTAGGACCCCAAACAATGCAAGTAGGAGATGTCGTTGCCGTTTTTCTGGGCAGGGGCCCTGCCATCATTCTGCGTCCTGCATCCTCCCAGTTTCATGAGGTTGTAGGAGATGCTTATTGCGATGGCATAATGGACGGCGAAGCTTTGTTGGGCCCCTTACCCGGCCGATGGGAGCGGAGGACGGTTCATGACGGAGACATGTCTTCTCCTTGGTTCTCTACTTTCGTCGATAGGGATACTGGAGTCACACAACCGGAGGATCCAAGGCTTGGCGAGCTACCGAAAGGCTGGAGCCGGAAGTCGCATGAGAAGGAAAGGCTTTGGACGCAATTTGTGAATGAATCCGGTGAAGTTTTGGACAAAGGATGGGATCCAAGACTTCTTCCTGAGGCCTTGCGGGAGCGAGGGGTTAATTTAAACTTCTTCAAACTCGTATAATAATGCGAAGGCTCGGCATTAGCAATCTATAAGGGATTTCGAAGACTTGGTACCTCGACCGCGAAATGCGAAGCCGTGTCTTTGACAGCATCAGCCGAACTTCAAGTGTCTATTAGTCTATCGGCGATGCTAACGCAAGCGCTGGGATGGATAGCGGAATCCATGTTTTAGTCTAGAATATCTGGGTTACCTTTGCCAGCAAGAACACATTACCGATGAGCTCCCATCCGGACGATTCAACAAAGAGGCATGAAGACACTGTGAAGTTTCTATTTAAAAAGAGAGAAAGATTCTGTTGGTTTTGTGGAATCGGCGGGACCGTACTTAGTATGTCCTGTATGATCATCATTCCTCCCTACCTCGACAACAACCCGCTCAAAAACTGGAGTTCCACCATGTCACCCAGCACCATGCTATTGACCTTCATTGCCGCAAGAAGAGCTTCAATGCGACTAGCTGTCGCTGCTGGCTTGATTTAGTCAAAATGGCAGCACTTCCATAAAGAGGCGCGGCCGCTCTATGGGCTGAATGTCTTCGATGAAGCAACCAGAGACCCCTGGGAGCCATTATCGGTAGAGTTGCGGACGCCTTAACACTCCATCCCCTATCTGGACCAAACGCTACTTGCCATCACGGCACTGCATTTTCCCCAGAAATCTATGTTCATGTCCGTTGGCCATGGATTGTTTTCGTTTGTTTGCTCTCTGTTCTTGGCGCATTGTTTCTGGCTATGAGCTTGTGGATCAGCCGCCAGCACCGGATGTCGTTTTTCTGGAAGGCAAGTGTTACACCTCTGATGTTTCATGGCGTAAGCGGGTGGGAAGAGGACGAATTGGGCGTTGATAAGAGGGAGGAAATTGATGAGCGGGCGAGAGGGATGATGACAAAGCTGGGAAAGAATAATGAAGAAAGCTTGAAGTTCGTCAGAGTAAAGGTCGAACAAGTTTCTTATCTGCCGCTATCAGCATGCTTCTAAGACCGCAAGTGTAATGAGTATACAGAAGAGCCATCAGTAGATGATTCACACTATCACACAAATCCATCTCAAACCAAACTCGAGCCTCCACACACTCAAGGAAGCATAAAGCGTCCGAGCCATCCTAGCCGCTTAATTCTCCGCCAAAACAAACGCCTCCTCCGTCCTCTCAATGAAACCATCCACCCCCTCGACCCCGTCCCCACCCCCCACCCACTCCCCCAAAAACCCCCTCACCAACCCCATCACCACCTCCGTCACCCTCGCCCCCGCTATCCCCCCCAACCCCCCCAACGCCGCCAAGCCCCCCGCAGTCTCCCTCTCCCCCAGCAAATCGAACCACAACGGAAAATCCGTATAATCCAGATGCGCCGTCCCATTGACCTGCACATCCCGCAGCCATCCCGTCTGGTTCGAGTTAAACGTCACCCACGTCGTGTCGTTCGGCGCACCCCCCGCGTCCTCCAGCCCGCGAAACCTTGCCTCGCTCGCCAGCTCGAGGAACGGCGCGCGCAGGTCCGGATTCGCCGCGTTGGGGTCGGCTTCCAGCGTCGTCGCATTCTCCTTGAGCAGGTGCTGGTACGCGCCGTCGAGGTTACCTCCAGCACGCCACAAGGTGCCGCCAGGCGACGCGATCATGGCGCCGGCGGACGCGGCGCCGCCCATGCTGTGGCCGAAGAGGGCGTAGTGCGACGTGTTGAACGGCGCGCCGTACTGCGCGATGAGTTGCGGGAGGAGACCTCCGTCGTCGGGGTTCAGGACAGCCGCGATGTCGGCGACGCGGTAGCGGTACATCTGGCGGAACTGCTCCTGGGTCAGGGACAGGATGTTCTGGATGCCGTCGACGGGCGCCGCGCCGTAGGGGAGCGGCAGGTACGGCATCTCGCCCGGGTGGTCGATGCCGACGACGGCGTAGCCGTGGGACGCGAGTTCGCTCAGGTACGCCGTGTAGCCGGCGACGGGCGAGCCGGCGCCGGGGGTGAAGATGATGGTGGGGTAGGGAGAGGTGCCGTTGCCGAAGGAGGGGTGGGTGCCGAGGAGGGTGGGAGCCTGGAATTGGAGCGGCGTGGTGAGGCGCAGGAGCGAGGTGTTGCTTATGCCGGCGATTTGGGAGTAGATAAGCGCGGCCTTGGCGTCGAGGTAGGGGGCCGGGCTGGATGGCGCTTGGGTTGTCGGGTAGTAGATGGTTAACAGCAGGATGCCGGGGTTAGGCGTGGGATCAATGGCGGTGGTGTGGTTGAAGACGTGCTGCGTGTAGCCGACGTGGTACGGCCCTGTTGGGTCCCATAGCGAAATAGCGCTGACGATTGGCGCGAGTTGCGCGAGGGTGAAAATGAACGAACGCATGTTTGACGGCATGTGTTGTTTCGTTGTTTGGCTGATCTTGTCGCCTTTAAGTATCCAGTAAATGGTGGAATGGTGGTTACGTAACCTGTAAGACGCCAAATCATCCTCTTGAATCCTTCCTTGCACAGCCGACCGGCTTCGGAGCTTCCGTTATGATTCATTATGCTATGTTGCACAATAATTAATTGTGATGGGGGCTGAAAGTTGACTAAGCGTGCGGTCGTATCATCAACCATGGATTCATTCTACACTAAGATTATAGACAGTATGTATCATTATATCGTGCCGAACCCTTCGTATCTCGTAATGCATCTCACAAAACCGTCGTTATATCCGCAACGCAAGGCCTTTCCTCCAATCTGTCATAGCTCGGTCCATCGGATGTGCACTCAGGGACGAGCTCAACCTGGACGCAATCCTGGTATTCGGGGCCGGTGTTGTGAATCGGATCGGTCCCGTATTTGCCAACATCGATCCAGTACAACGTCGCCCATTCCTGGTAGAGGCCGGTGCAAGCAGCGAACGTCGCCTTCTCGACTCCTGGTTTGTACAAGAACGGAACGTTCTTGTCGTCGACGGTGATATCTAGGACGTCCTCGGGCGGGGTGGTAATGTATCGTGTGGCGGCCATCTCCACGCCGTCCATTGGGTATTTGTCCGAACCGGCCAACGCCGTGATGCCGAAGGGAGTCACTTCGTTGGCAGCGTTGGGGGCATCGGTCCTGATGTGCGCTTTGCCATCCTCAAATGGCTGCGTGTAGAAGACGTCGCCGCCACGGCTGTCCCAGAAGGTTGTGTTGATGAGGACTCCCCACATGTAGTCGGGCGGCAGACGGGTTGGGACTCCTAGTCGGTGGACCTCCACAGGCCAGCCATCGACTGGCGGTGTTGTGCCGTTCTTCGGCCCGGTGACTCGGGCACGGAGTCTGTAGTGAAGAGAAGAGTCGGCTGCATGCGCCATTGGGATGGCAGCAAGGAAGCCGAGGGCCAGAGAGGTAATGGTAGAGGGAACCATGGTCGATGTAGATGAAATTGGAAGGTGCTGATGTGTCGCATAGCGAAGTTGCACAGGGGTTGCGATCTTTTATTTCGTTTAGGCATACTGCCAAGAAGTGACATCAGCAGACTCTATACGAGGTGGATTCTCCTGCGACCTGATGATGACAGGATTGGGGCTCAGCAACAGAAACCAATATTGAGGCGTTACTCCTGCGTGAAATCACCTGATGATGATTGGAATCCAGCCATACCGGGACAACGTGATCGTGAAGAACAATTGCCTTCAATTTGTGTGGTTTCGGGAGGTGAAAACATCCGGGAAAACCGGCGAGCCTAAAGGATTTAGGTTGCCGAATACGGCTGGGCTGGCTTGCAACACGAGCTGCAATGCGTTGGCGCAAATGACGTCACTACTCTCCGTTGAAGTGGTCCTTGCGCATTTTGCGGTGTCGAATGAACTTTAAAAATCTCAGAGCATCCATAACATTATATCTGCAAAACATGAACACAATGCCTGCACCACGACAACCTCTTTTATCCCAAACGAACCAGCTGATCCCGAACAGCAACCTCATCGAAAGCATGGATGTGGATCTTTCCAATTCCCACTCGATAAGTGATCGAGCCCCTCACAACCGTGACAAGAACATTGTAGAGACAAAAGCATACAGACGGGTCATAAGCTTCCGGGTCAAACCATTCCGAAGCAGAAGAGGTATCCATATCTACACCATTCCAAGCAGGATCACCTGGGTTTCCTGAAAATTGAGCTTTTCCACTATTCCATGCCGGATCTTTCTCGCCATCCGTAAGAGTCGTTGAGGAGATCTTCAAGAGCTCGTATTTCTCTGCTGAGTCGTAGCGCACATGCATGATTACCTTGCCCAGTTGGCAGCCGGTTGCGTGGTGGAAGATGCGCAGAGTATTGGAGTCGGATGCCTCGGGGTCCATACGCCAAGAGACAGACTGCGTCTTGTCGGCAAGGAAGAAAAGCCGACCTGTATCCCGATCAATGGGAACTGGGTCATGGATGAATCTGGTAATAGGATGGCAAAACTAGTGTGAGGGATTGCCGTTTCTTCTGATATAATATGGTCGTCCCTCGGGCGTGACTTGGCGAAGCCAGTCCTCATGTTGAGGCCAAAATGGTGTATTCTTGCCGAACTCGCTTGCGTAGAGGACACGAGAGTCTTCAGGTTGTCTCCATCTTAAGCAAGACACCGTCCGTTCTGAGATGTTCACAAGGTCCCTGTAGTACACCGGACCAACCCATCCAGCCCATGACCAACTCGGAAACGGGCCTTGTAAGGTGTCGCCCGCTCTTGCTGCGCAACGACGCTGAAGGAGGTCGGTGACTGGATACCACAGAAGAGAGATGTCTAGAGCTGCAATAGGCACACAGAAGATGACTTCAGAGCTGAAAAGCAAGGAAATTATTTTCTTGATGCCTCCGAACGCATTCTCGATGTCTTCCTCATGACTTAGTGTTCTTTTGGAGTACTCTTGGATAATCTGAGCATATGTATTGAAGTTGATGTTGCGCTCAAGCTCCAATTTGTAGGTATCGGACTGAGCAGGTTGTGGGTTTCGACTCCAAGTAAATGCTTCGTGTGGATTATCCCCATCCATCTCGTGTGCTCTACCATGACTGCACTGAAAGATCATCTGCCCAGTAGTGAAGATCAAGAGTCTACATGAAAGGATTCTCTCTTGATATGTTTATGCTCTTGTTTTTCAGATGGATGAGTTGACCGCTATACCGAAGCTATTCGGACTTGCAGGCTGCTGTTGATCGTCGATGGTGGAAAGCCTTCGAGAACCGTCTGAAACTCCCATGAGGCCAGTATCAGCATGTCCTCCAGCAGCTGCTGCTATAGTGAAAATTGCTTCGCGGTAAATTGCTTCCATCGCTTGTATCTGAGCGTGCTTGTCCTCTGTGTCTTGCACGATACAAAGGGCATCCACCCAGAGATATCGCTCACCAACATTTTGGCACAACTGAATTGCATCCCAAATGGTTTTCGAGCACCTTCTTCGCTCGACTGTTCCATCATTCCTAAAGAACCGATCATTTCCGTCGCGAAGTGTCCATCTTTGTCGACCGCCCCATACGTAACTCAAAGCGACATAACGGCATCGTTTCGGTGCTGGTACCACTCGGAGACGGATGACGTCAATGACTCGCGAATGGAGCTCAAGGCTTTCATATAGGTCGAGAATCGCAGCTGTCCCATCTCGCTCTTGCTTTTCGGGGACCTCTTCGCAAGAATCGAGCCATCGTTTGATTTTCATGAGGTCAAGTGTTGATCTTTCCTTTGGTGGACTCGGCGCATCTCGCCTGGTGACCTCCGGTAAATCAATCTCTATGTTGCACTGGATTCCACGGGAAATCGACTGGACTTTCTCGCCATGCTGGATGCCATTGCCTATTTTGACGATATCGCATAATCTTTCACGAACTTCGGAAGCTGACGGTCGGCGATCTTGTTGTCCTTGTAGAATGTCGAAAATGAGGTGTTGAAAATCGCGCTGCCACGGCAATGCTTCTTTTTCCACAATCTTGATAAACCAATCTCTCATCGTGACTCGTAAAGAGTGATCTTCTCCTTGAGTCTCATAAAAGCGCCCAAGCTCGCCCCGGATCATGTGAAGTTCCTTGACCTTTGACGATCCTCCGATCAAGACTACGAAAACTTCCATCAGTATGCAACCGAAGGACCATACATCATTCGGGTATCCAACTTGATCGGGGGTATATTCCACTTCCGGTGCACCGTATCCCTCAGGGAATCGTCCAGCTGTGATAACCCATGGCTCTGAGCTCTCAGGATCTGACCCCCTAGTCAGCCTCGAAACGGACATGCCAAAGTCAGAAATTTTCCATCCTCTTCCTGGAAGTTCATTGAAAAAGACGAGGATGTTGTTCGGGTTGACATCCATATGCATGCACTCGAGCCTAATTTCATCCTCTATAACAATAGACGAATGAAGCCATTTTAGAGCGCTGGCTACTCCAAGTGCGTCATAGAGCATTGATGATGGCTTGTCCCAAAGTCGGTCTGCCGGAGGCTCTTTCTCACCGTAAAGAAGTTCGTGGAGGTCGCAGCTAGCGGGGTCTGAGATTATGAATGCCGGTCCGTCGGTAATTCTAACATAGGAAAAGCAAAGGAAGATGTTTGGATGCAAGTCTATACCCCCTTTCAGAAGGCTTTGGATGCTGCACTCTTTAACGAACTGCAGACGGCGGAAATGCGGGAAGGTCTTCACATCTTTGAATTCGGTCTGCACAGGATGGTGTTAGAGGATATTCATCTGAATATAGCAGAATTCGCGAATACATACCTTTTGCGATGTGCTACCGTCTTTGAATACTAACATCCCCTTCGGTATTTTCTCACGTGTGATCTTCATGGTACCGGTATACTTTAGGAGTTCTCCAGTACCATAAAAGGGCAGGCGGTATTGACTTGGTGTCGCTTGTTCCACATCTTCTCTGTGTTTTGCAGCCTTCATCTCCTTGATGGCGTAGGGTAGAAAAGCGTACTGTTGCTGCGCAAACAGATCCAGCTGATCCAACCTCAGAAAAGTCAGGTTGTCTCGGTTATGCTCAGTTACTGGGAGACTTCTGTCTCCAAAAGGGTGGTCCTGGCTAAGGATGGTTTCCCAATCCCAGTCGAATTGGAATAGTCCGCTGAGGATTAGAGTCGAAATCGATTTGAGAAAATGACTCCGGAGATAATCCTTTTCCGTCTCGTTTAGCCTGAGCAGATCTGAAACTTGATGCAAATAAGAGTCTTTTCCGCTGATCTCCATGAGGGTTGTCTCAAGCCAAGCTGCACTCCAAGGCTGATAAGACCTCCCTCTACCTCTGTTTTCCCAGAGCTCGATGAGATCTCCATCTGTGACGAATCCAGATGCCCACAACTCCTCTTTGTGTTTCTCAGAATTTTGCAAGAGCGTTTTCAAGGCCTTGGAAATTTCATGGAATAGCTCATCGGACGCTCTTTCCCTTGGCTGAGGAGATGCGCGTAAGTTTTTCCGAGACAAGCGGTCCATTTTTGGCATAGAAAGAATCGACAGAATGGTGAGTCATTTGGTATACCCGTCAGCCAATGGGGCCAAGGACACTGATCAAAGAGATCAGGCTACACTATCTTCTTGGCTTAGGAGGCAACGAAGCTAAAAAGCAGGAGTCCATGCTTACCAGCCAAGTTTCCTGTCGTTTCGATGGGCCGCGGATCCGTCAAGATGGCACCCACAAGCTGACCATGGCAGATTATGTAGTTGCGGGGCTGATGGACTTTGATGAGCACATAGTATTTTGTAACTAGTGTCCCCAGATTTAAAGATGTTTCATTGGCGGCGCAATCCTGGTCAACACCCCGCATCAAAGAATGAAGGGCATTCAGCTGCATGACGACGTGGCATTGTACTACAAGTCAGCACCCCACTACAACTAGGTCTATCTCGGGAAATGAATGGCGACTATGTCCTCAGCAATCCAGGAGCCCGGGCTCATATCTATGCGCTAGTCCTCCCCGTGAGATTCGCTTTAATCGTGTCCTTGTCATTCGCGACGCCATGCCGAAGAATTGCTTCGCTATCTAAGATTAGCTTAGTAAGAGTCGTGCAGCAAGGCGGGTCTGGCGTCGGCCTGGCGGGGGTGGCGTTGGCTTACTGTGAATGGAGACCCCAGGCCCCTGCCATGCACGATGCAATTTTTGACTGCTGACATAGCGTAACTTACTAGAGAGTTGCCGAGACGCGTCAACACCCATTACATGGCATGTCCGGATTCTTGTGTTCGCTGCAGATGAGTTTCAGCCTTGCACAACAAATTCTGCATGCATCCACCCCAATGTAACCGTAATCTCTTTGTGTGGAGCTTTACATGTGGAAGGAACACTAAAGACCCCGCTCGAAACATTTGATGATTCAGTTTCGCTTTATCCCAACAAAATTAAGGCGCCATAAACACTGACAAACCCCTCATCTCCCACGTAGGATCTTGCCTTG